AGAGACACCAGGTTCACTAGTCAGAGCTGGCAGGAACTTGTGAAGGTATAAGGTATATGGTTCTAAGTTGTTGATGTTGTCTGGCTGCCATCCAGAGACAAACGGTCAGACTGAGCAGATGAACAAGGTCCTGCAACAAGTTCTTAGAATGTATATTCGACCTGATCAGGTTAACTGGGGCGAAATGCTCCCAAAGGTAGCCAATGCTTACAATAATTGTGTTCATCTCGCCACTTGTTGCACTCCCAACGAGTTACACAAGTCCTTCAGACCCAGCAGACCGTTTGAAGGACTGAACCGGGACCAAATTCAGAGGCTGCCGCCCGACACTAGGGAGTTCGGGCTACTGCACGAGAAGGAAATTGCCAAAGTGGTAGAAAACCTCAGGAAGGCCCAGCATAGAATGATAGCACAAGCTAGCAAGCATCGCGCCTGTCGCAGTTCCAAGTAGGTTACTATGTCTGGGTCAAGTCTAAGGAGTTTATTCCTGAGGAGAACATCTCACAGAAACTGTTGCCTGCGTATAGAGGACCGTGGCCAGTTCTAGAAGTCGAAGGCGGAGATGACGGACCATCCTACACGATAGAAATTCCAGCACACCTCCACACCTACCCGGTTTTCCATGCATTAAAGTTGTTGCCTTGCACCACGAGTCAGCAGTTCCCATCGAGAAGATCTATGATCCCTTCGGATATGGATGGAAGGTACGAAGTTTTCTGCATAGTAGATGAGGATGTATTCAGGACAGGAGGTAGAGGTTGTCCTCAGAAACAGTATAAAGTCAGATTTGCCTACCAAGAGCCCGAGGACGATTGCTGGTTTACGCGAACAGGACTTCTAGAAACAGCTCCGGACATAGTTCGTGCCTAGGAAAGAGTTAAGAAAGGTAAAGATCCTGCTATAGGTTGAAATATTATTGGAAGACCTCGAATTTAGTCCAGCGAGAGTGAAACGGTTTTCACCTGTGTGGTTGCAGTTGCAGTTCCCAGAGCTTGATCTCCATGCCTCGCCCTTACCTGTGTACAGTACCAGTTGACCCGTGTGTGCTCGAACCCGCGACATATGTCTTGAAAGTCGCCTGTTGATTGCTGTAGGCAGGGTGGTCGTTGGGTCTTGAACCGTAGGTCTGTAGGTTAGAGGTCTTAGCAGTGGTAGGAGTCGTAGCTGCTACATTACTGAAGGGTCAAGTTCACAGTCTTCCGGAAGGTTCGGAACAGGCCCTTCGTGAGTCATAGCAGGCAGTCTGTAGGCAAGTGGTCAAGTGGGCAGTCTTACCTTGCTCAGTCAGCAGTACCCAGTCCCAGTCGCACCTTGTCAAGTCAGCAAGTACCATGCGGGACTGTGTGCACTTCGGGCCCGGTGGAGAGAAGAAGACCAGTATAAATAAAGAGGCAGCAACCAGTCATGCATTCATTCTGCCTGTGAGCCGTGCGGAAGCGCTGTCGGGTTGTCTTGTGTATGGAGGTCTGAAGGTGCCCGTAGATGAAGAGGGCTAAGAGGAGGAAGATCGGCCACAGCTGATAGTTCGTTAGTAGGGAGGAGGAAGACACTGGCCATAGCCGCCAGGTCAACAAGATTAGTGTGTTAGAGTGTATGTGTGTGAGTGTGTTGTGTTGGTGTGTGCGGGGCATCCAAGGAGATCCAGGGTGTGTGTACGAACCAGTTGCCGGGAATGTGGTGTACGACCATAGCTGTACGAGGCGAGTTCGAATCTGAACTGCATCCTTGGCTGCATTAACTCTGAGCTTTGTGTGGGCGCAAGTCCCCATATTGATTGTCATCTGTTTGTACGCATGCTGAGTGTCGAGAAAGACAAGTCTGATTGCAGATGAGAGACTTGGCTACCATTTGGGGAGGGTTTGCCCCCAGTTTCAAGGTTGACGTTGTGAATGGTGAGATTGTGGGACTTGGAGAGAGACTTAATTTTGGAGTTGTCTGTGAACCGTACGAGATAGTCACCTATCACACGGTTCTCCAACTCCACTTATGTAGAATGTAGAGTAACTGATAAATTACTCAGAAGGATGAAATATGATAAATAAAACAATACGTCTTTATAGTCGAGTAGCAGGTAGGTATAGATCAGATGTTTAATTCAACTCCAATAATAATATTATTATAAATGCAAGGAAACTGAGCAATAGGGAGATGACAGAATCCAGATAGCACAATGACATTGAAAGCAAGAAAGTCCCACAGTGTCCAGAAAGCAGCATTGCACCAATATTACACCAATGGAGAATCGAAAACACTGAGACCGAATGTCAATGAGAGCTTACTCTCGTCCTCACCAACACAAGTATCCAAGCCCTCTCTGCCTACTTGGCGCTCGGTGCCCAGACTACTCCATACACAGCTACTTCCTGCCTGCGAATTGACAATGCAGCTGTCGACGTCAGCAGCCACAGAAGTACTTGCAGATGTCGACCAATGCAGACCATCGCCAATACCAGGTATGCGCCCTCACATCATCATCATCATCTCTCCCTCTCTCTCTCCCTCGTCTTTCACCCACGTCTTCCTTCTTTACACCCGAAGACCACCACCACCTCCACTGGCTGTCCAAGCCCAGCCCTGGCTATGTAGGGCTGGTTATGGCGCTGCCCTCAGCAGCGCCCTGCCTGCTTCCAGCGCTCGCAAGCACTGCATGTTAACTAGCGCTAGCGCACTGCGCACAGCCCGCGAGCGCACGCTCAAGCAGCGCTGCCGCATGCACTGCTTAGTGGCCGAATGCCCCCACCAGTGGAGCTCTTTCCGTTAAGGAAAGTGCTCGCCCAGTTTTCTGTCTGGCTGGGCTTCGTGTGTTTCCAGTAGCTTCCAATCGGGCCAAAGTGTCTGCGCCCAGGCCCATTCAGACAGTGGCCTGCGACCGAAGTGGTTAGGCCTGCCCAACCACCCAGGAGTAAGCGTGAGGTTCTTTCTGCTTCGCCTGTGCTGCTGGAAGAGCCTAGAAGGCTCATGTGTTATGAACTTGGTTGTCTGACAATTTGATTGCCACTCACACTCAGAAATACTCACACACGCCCATACATGCGTGAGACAAAGGGGAGAAGGAGACAGGGTCCAACTGCACACCGATCAGAGATAAACAGCGGAATAGCAAATATGCACAGAAGGGGAGAACACACTCAGTGTTTCTCTCTCCCTGACACACTCCCGACAACCAATCACAATTGACACTGCGAAGATCACAATTTGGAAATTAACCCAGATGATGAGCCAACTCAACACAGTTAACCTCAATTATCGTAACAGAGTTCAACCCAGTATCTCGCCACTCCAGAACTACACACTCCACTCACTACTACACTCTCAGAGTCTAGCGCTGCACAGTAACAGCCTCCCAGAGGCCAGCGCCATACACCCAGATGCAGATCATGAACAGCGAAGTAGTCCCCAGTGCCGATGAGTCACTCTGACGATGAAGAAGGCAACTATGGCTGCCTGGCTGCTACCGCAGCACTAGTACCCACATGTACTCAGTGACAACCTCCGATATAGCCCTGCCAACGCAGATATCCCCAGGGGATAGGTGCGCTGAGTACAGCCCCAGCTATGGCTGTCTCAGGTGGGCGGCTATGGCTGCTTCACCGCTGCTGAAACCCCAGGTGCCGCTGTGGGTCTTCAGCGCTGCTCACTTGGTTGGCCACCAACGCTGCACGCGAAAAATGAAAAGCCAAAAGTCCCTAACTATCGGTCCTACCCTACCTATAGTTTTCGGCCTAACCTACGGGACCGAAACTACTACCGGTACCGTTGCCCTAAGGGCCTACCCGTCCTCTACAGCAGTCCTACAGCACTTAGGACGCAGTGCCCCTTAGGGCCTGCAAACCCTCAAACTCTACCGCTGTTAATTCTATTTTATTTTTAAAACAGCGGACAACCGTCAGTGCAACCACAAAAACACAGCAATCACACAGTAACAAACATGCCGCAACTCAGCAGGCAAAACCACACCGTAGAGTACAACCCCGCAGGCAGATACGGCAGCAAGCAGCAAGTCATTACACACGAATTGTTTCTGATTCTCACAAGTACGGAGGATGTAACTAACTGGCGCATGGCAACTGTCTGGCACCCACCAAACTTTGCCAAATTTGACGAACTCAGGCCATATTGAGATTCAGGGGCCCGCCCTCTCTTAGGGCGGGCTCATGCTTGCTGAAAGGGCCTGAGAGGGGCATGCCGAGGAGCTAACTCGTAACAAGGCCTCGTCGAAGGTCCATGCCCACATGGGGGTTCCAACAGGCTCNTTGCTGAAAGGGCCTGAGAGGGGCATGCCGAGGAGCTAACTCGTAACAAGGCCTCGTCGAAGGTCCATGCCCACATGGGGGTTCCAACAGGCTCTGTTTGGGACACTCAGCCTGGTCTCATAGCCCTATAAACAGGCATTGGCACATATTTTGCAGGCCCGCCTTCACTCAGGGCGGGCACGGCACTTTCAGACACTGCCGAGGGACTAGATCCTCGCATAATATATATTGACAATATATTGCCTCATGACGAGTCGGTGAAACTCCGATGAAACAGTTTGTCACAGCCCCTCGTTTCTTGTCCTCTTCTCCCTCTCTGCCTACGGTTTACAGGGAAGCTCTGTTTGACGATATTTTATTATGTATTATTATAATATTATTGGAGTTGAATTAAATATTCTCCCTATGTGCATATGCAAGGAGGGATCATGGGTTTGTGTACGCTTCCATCCTTCCAGCTCCCTATTACGCATGTATGAGTGTGATGAGTCAGATTGCTATCTTTCGGCCTTCTGCTGCTCTGCATTGTTGTTTCTCCTGACCTTGGTGATCACTTGGTCCTGCGCCATGTTTGGATGCCCGTAGGCATTTGACTAAGGTTCTTGATGGCATTCTGCAACATTGAAAAGGTACCGGTTGCCACTCACTTGTTTTGCAACTCTCAGTTGTCCCAGTGTCCTCTCAGTTGGGAGTAGTTTATACCTGACATTGTTCTACCGTTGTTCTTTCTTGGCTCTGTCATGGCAGCTGTACCCTTAGCGGTGAAATTGCAGCAGCTCCATTTGCTGAAAGAGGAGAAACAGGGAACGATGCGAAGGACGAGCTGCATCCATCAGTCAAGAAGGCATTCCGCGCACGGTGTTATGCATTCCAGAAACGCTTGGAAAGGTATGCTGTATGCGTTATCCAGTATGTTGCGCCTGTGACTGTTACAGGACAGGGGAAGGGATGTTCACTTAACATACGTGCATTGGCGCGGAAGAATTGAAGGGGCATTAGAGTCTCAGATGGTGGACATCGTGTTCCACTCTTTAAACTACCAGTATGTGCCAGCCATCGGTCAAGGCCCCCTTTCGGAGGCTTTCCACCGCCGGTTTATTCTAACGACCCCGCGCGAGCCTCTCAAATTTTACAAGAGGCTCGATCGGACTCCACACTTGGCTGGGGCCATGTCCTGGTCCGTCAAAGACCCTGCGTGGAACTTTCCTTTTTTTTTTTTAATCAGACGATGCTCCAATCTATTCCTGGGGAGCAACACGGCTGGGAACCGGGCCCAGCGTCCCTTATCAGAATACAAAAAATGAGGTACCGCGGCCATTACCCGGCGTCGGCTAAGAACAATTGAAGACAAGGAAGAACTCAGAAACATTCATGGTCCACTACTCAAACTCTACCAAGTCACTAGCAAGTCACTGGAATACGTGTCAAAAAGCCTCCCAACCATGAGTCAGATAGGTGAAACCTATTCAATCCACCTACGATTTCCACCAGCATGGCTGTTTTCAGCACGAACCGAAGCTCTTCCAGGCCTCATGCTCCCATCAGGCTAGGTTACAGAGTTGCACCACCTTGCTCCAGCACCGGGCAGCATAACTGGTGAAGGAAAGAAGATATTGGGAGGAGGACAGCAGAGATGTAGTAGGGCACTGGTTCCAGGCTCCCCGTGTGATGACCACGGCACAAGTTTGTGTTTCCCCATGCATATTGTGCAAGAGGATGAGGTTATCTCACCAGTAGCAACAGCAGGAGTCAACTAAGAGAGGGAGTTGCGGATGGGTGGGAAGGAAAGAGAACAAAAGGTTGTTAGCGGTGGAAACGAGGGCAGAACGCCGCAACGTGAGGGAGGGATCTTGAAACCGTAAGGATGTGAGTGAATTTGAAACGGTGAGTAGATGAAAAAGAGAGAGAGAGGAGTGTGAAGGGGCATAATGTGCAAACAAATGGATCATAAGGGAAAAGAGCTAGAGCACCTGGGCAAGGGAGGACAAGACCCAGAGCATATTGACGATGGCGTGGAGGAGCGTAGAGAGGCTAATGGCCAGCCAAGCTACAGTGCCAAGCTACTGTGCCGTTCAAGGAGGGCTAACGGCCAGCCAAGCGACAGTGCCGTTCAAATGAATATACCTCTGCGCGGCGTGGCAGGCGCATTCAACCAAGCACGTTAACGCTGGCCATACCGGTGGTTTAACAAAGGGAAGGGCCTAAATCCGAAATGGGAACGCAGTCTGACTGAGATTGGATTGACTTTTTGTGCCATTATTTGTTTGTCTTTTTTTGTTTCGTTTTTGCTTTCGAAGTTCTACGTGTAGAAGCAAATTCTCCAAATTTATGACCAACCATATCTTCAGTAATCTGTAAACCAACAGAATATTTTCCGTTATAAACTTGTGCATCGTAACCGACAAATTTAGGCAAACTACAAGATCTACGTGACCAAATTTTCCAACTCTGGCGAGCCACACGCGAATGCGTTTTCAACAGACGAGCATCTACAAATGGACCTTTCCATATATAGATCTAATTGACATAACTTAATTCTTTTGTTTTCATACTACTGGTGTGAGGTAGGAAGGCCCTACGAAGCAGTGAGCAATGTAATTGTATTGTCTCTGGTTGTGGGTAGGTGGATTTGTGTGAATCTTCCACTGTAGGATGTGTCATGTGGTGGGCTTTGTTTTAAATGTGTCTTATGTTGGTAAATAATAAATATAAACTATTATAAATTTATAAACTAGGCTACCAGAGTGGCCCGGGGCAAGTGGCCAAAATAATTTTAAAAAATTAAAAAATATATATATATTTTTGAATTTTATTTTTTATTTTGAATTTGGTGAAGAATTTCGATGTGACCCTGAGGCAAAAGTTGTTCAGTTTATTTTTCTGCATAACATAGGTTTTTTTTTCAGAATTTTTGGATTTTTTTTTATTTTATTTTATTTTTTTTTGCTGGGACCTTACCTGATCCTTGCACGGGCTGGCCACCCGGGACCCGGGCGGCCCGGCTGGTAGCCTAGGTTATAAAGTAATATAAACTGATGTAGATCGTTCTCTGTGGTATCCAGGTTGCAATCCTCGTCAACAATATCTGAAATAATGGGGAAGGTAGACGAAGTTGAGCAGTTGCGAATTGAAGAGAGCCTGTGGCATCGTGGTGATGGTGAGCACCAGCAGCAGCAGCAGCAGCAGCTTCTTGATGACAGAGTGCTGTTAAGAGGACTACAGGAAGGTGTTCTTGCAACTGGTGGAGATGGACATGTGAGTCCTGCCTCGCGTGCTGAAGAACGACCTGTTGTGGGCCATGCGGAAGAGGCGGGTGCGTCTTCAGGTGGCAAGGTTGCGAGTGATGGTATTCCCAGTGTTGCGGAGGGCAGTGCTGATGCAGATGGGCTCCGCAGGCAGATCCCTGAGGACGCAAGTGGGCATGTTGCGCGTGTTCCCCTTTCTTCAGATTCAAATTGTCTAAACTCGCATCGCGGAGATGGTGCGAGTGCTTCCTTGGAAGGCGTCGGCGTTGTGTTGAATGCGATCGTAAGATGTAGGCATAGGACGAACATGAACCAGGTCGATGAATTTCATAACGCGGAAGGCGAGCAGGACGGCCCCTGCGAGGAGTGCAGAAAAGATGGTGTTCATACGGAGGGGGGTGAAGGTGGTGTCCGCAAAAAGGATCCGGTAAGAACAAGGGAGGTATCAGCGTCGTCAGAGGCAAAGAGACAGCTTGATGAAAGGGAGAGAAGGGGATGGGGAAGTGGTAGGCTAGATGAGCGCCCGCTGCAGAGGCTAAGGTCGGAGCATTTGCCCCTGCACTGGTTGTCAAAAGGACTTCGTTGTGCTTCCTTATGACAAGAAGACATTTTTCGCACATGCTGGACCCCCTGATTTGGGTACGGCGGTTTGTTGCCTTGTGGTCCGCATTTCATTTTCATTTTGCTTTTTCATTTTCATTGTCATTGCACACCGCAAATCCTTTCACCTGTTAACCTTTGGAAGTTGTTTGTGTCGATAGGTTAATTTCATTGGGTGCGCTTCTGTTTTTTCTCCATCGGATGGTGATTTGGAGCTGTAGTCGCCATCCTCGTCGACGCCAGGTAAAGTTGCTCTAGCGTGTGTCATAAGTACTTCATGGATGCATCCCCCCCCCCCTTGTTTGATTGCCTTTTCAGCTGATTTCTGCAGCTACAGCTGGTGCTCCATTTTATGGTCTTGGGCTTCCTACCATTCTGTGTTTATTGGATGATGCTCATCAACAAACCCGATTGCGTGGTCGTGCCACCTGCTGTGTTTCCCTACTTTCCCTCTGGTGATCGGCTTTCATGCCTTTTCAATCGCCATAGATACCGATTGATTTGACAGTTCAAAGTGTGCAGCGGATTTGGCGCCCCGGAGACCAATCTGCTCTGTATCCTTGTTGTTCGCTCGGACTATCCCTTGTTGCTAGGGCCTGGTAGTGAAGGACATTTTGAGTTGTTAGAGTTTTCGTTTCAGCGGGGGAAGGGGGAGGGGGGGGAGGGGGAAAGGGAAACGGCTGAGGGAGCACACTTCTTATCCTTTGCGAGCCTTTTGTAGAGCGTTGTACAAGTCATCGTGTCCTCTTTGAGGTTGATTAATCGCCCTCTTTTTTATGGGGCGCCTGTCTTCTCCTTTGAGGACTTTGGCCTTCTGCCCCCATGTTGTGTATTTCCAGTATGAAACTTGTGAATGCTTGTTGAATTATTCAGTCAACGTTGTGACGTACACCCAATAAAAAGAACACAGGACTCTTTTCAACAGCGTCTGTGAGTGACTTGTCTACTTATCTCTTCTTTCCCCTCAGCCCGTGTCTCGTGTCTTATGGGTGATCCTGTCTGAGCTACTTGTGAA